TGTGTGTGTGGGTGTGTGTGTGTGTGTGGGTGTGTGGGTGTGTACACATATGTGTGGACTGCAGAGAGCTACCTTCAGCAATCAGCTCAGTCCCTCCCTTCACTCTGTACTCTGGGATTGAACTCAAGTCCTCAGGTTTTCATGGCAGGTGCTGGAACTTCCTAGGGCATTTTGCCAGCTCCAATCTGAAATTAATTTTAATGAAAGCAATATGAACAAAATGTTACATTCAAAGAGCTAACATTGCACCATTCCAATATCGTTTCTGCTCTAATCTCATGTTATCCTTTTTGCATTCAATTTCAGTACTCTGGGCTTCCTGTGTTGACTTTTATCCTAATAAAAATATTTACACACTCTTACCTTATAGCTGCCTATGTAAAGATGGCATATTATAGATGTCTGTTTACAATTTACTTTTTCCAACTTGTGTTGACTCTTGCAAGTCCCAGGGATCATAGTTCACAGGGGACTTCCTTTCTATTGTCCAGTTATATACAATTTCACTAAGTAGACACAGCAAGCCATTTGGCAACTGTTCTACTGGAGTATTTCATTTTAGTGTGTAACAACAAATAGTTCTTCAATAAATACTCTTATGCTTATGAGTTTTTGTATTGTTGGATGTTGAAGCCTGCTCCAATCAACTAAGATACCTGAGCAGGGGTGTGAGGATTGAGAAACGGGAGAAAAAGAAAAAGAGACAGAAATACAGGATAGATTTGGGAGGACTTCCAGTCCCTGCCTTTCAGCACACCAGACAGTGTCTAGTTTAATTTAGAACCTGCTTATTTAGAAGCCAAGCAGAACAAAGAGAAACATAGTAAGTCATCCCTCTGCTGTCCTTGAATCAGAGCAGACAGGCTTGCTATCTATCATGTGAGTCCCGCTAGCAGCAAGCAGCTTCATTCCCTATCTTTATGTGTCTTTCCTCCTGGCCTTCACCAGCCTGCATCTTAAGATAATGTGCTCTTTCCCATGGGCTTAATCAGAACTTTCTCACAGCTCTCAAGGAGACTGAAACAAGCAAGATTGAACTCAAATGACTTATAAGTCAGAATAGACTCCAAATCGAAACTGAGTCACTTGTGGGCTCCCGCAGTTGAAGTTATATCGTCAGAAGAAATTCATTGAATTGGGAGTGATGCATTATAATGAAAATTTAAATGTAAATTTGTTCCATATTAACAGCTTCCTTTTCATAAATAATGCTTTTGTATTCTCATCATTAAAGAATGAAAATACCTCTTTCACAGAGCTGGCATAATAGGTGATAAGCGTTTTTTAGTATAATTTTAAATAACTTATCATGAATTAAGTTGAATATCTCTTACAGATTTCACTTCTGTATCTCTGTTGTGTGTGTGCACATGTGTGTGTGTGCGCGCACGCATGAGTTATATATGCATGCATATTGCCTATTCTGAAATTGGCTTTTTCAATATTTTATTCCATTATTTTTAATTACTTTTGTAGTATTTTATTTTCTGTGAGGGCAAACAGTGAGCTCAGGGCATTTTACATGTTGTGCAAATACTCTATTATTGAGCTATACTTCTAGTCCTAAATTCTGAGGCACACTTTGTAATTTAGGAATATTCTTTCCTAGTTAAAAATACTCTATAGTATTTTTAAACCACCTGAAATAGAAGCAAAACTGTGGTAGGCCCCATCTTCATTCATTCTCCTACAGCTGTTCTTTATCTGTAGGCACCAAGAACAACCAACAAAATCTGCTCTCTTAGCCACTCTCCTGAAAGCAGGGTACTTGTTCTACTTGCTTGTCATCAATCAATGTACCCATATTAACTTAGCATCTTAGCAGGACCTGCAGTAATACACTACTTATATATCATATGTAATGTAATGTAATAGAATTCTGAAAATGCATATAATTATCCTAATTTTTTGAAAAGGGAAGCTTACTAGAAATAACATGATAATTCATGCAACTCCAAATTGTTTTTATTTAACTGATTAATGCATTTATTACAATGTTGGAGTTGGATCACGGGATTCACACACTCCAGACAAGCTTTCTGTAGCCTAACACTCAGGCCAGTACTCTTCCCTCAGTGAGGGAGCAAATTTGCAAATGATGTATGAGCTGTAAAAATTATATGCAGGATAGACAGACAGACAGACAGACAGACAGATAGATAGATAGACAGATAGAGCACTACACAAATGAATATCACCTATAAACTCTGTTGCTATAAATTGTTTTATTTAGCTTTATGAGAGTGAGTAACTAGTGGGTGAGATCATATCCCACCATGACTATTCTTTTAACTCACTGTGTTTGTACTTTATTTGCAGCACTTATCAAATCACGCAACCTTTTTACCTGGCCTAAGGTAAACAAATTCCTTAGTTTTAGATTCTACTTCTAATCTGATCACTGTTCTCAAAGGTATCTAAACCTTCACAGAGGTAAAGTGCATTGACAGATTTTCACATGGCCTTGGCTGGACATACATCATAGTCTCTCCAGGCTGGCCTTCCTCCTATGTAGAATAATCCTTATAACCCTTATAACATACTAACATGTTTTAGTAAAAGTGATAGTAACACACACACACACACACACACACACACACACACACACACACACACACACATCCCCCTATTAGATATAGCTCAGCATTTAGTGAAATAACAACAATTACTTGCTCAGTCACAAATGTCACTTTTCTCCAATCTCCATAGACATTACTCATTCTTACTAACTACATGAAAACCTTGTCCACAAACACATAATAAGTAAAGATCTTTACTCATTAACAAGGTCGAAGGAAAACTTCTCACTTAGGGTTTAGCAGTGATTCTAATATGATTATCATTCAAGTGATTATGGGATACATGAGGTCATTACAGTAAGAAGAAACAAAAACTCACCTGATGGAAGTCCAGAAGACAGTAAATCCTTAAACATTCATCTAGTAGGGTTAGAAGTGAAAGGTATTCTATAAATGGGAAAAAATAAACTCTTATTCCTGTCATGTTTATGTTTCCAGCCCCCATGCAAAATGTATTACCCAATAGATCCTGCGTATGAAGCAAACTGTCCAGATGTGGTAGCACTGGTTTGTGCTACAAATGGCTTAACCTACAAGAATGAATGTTTCTTTTGTATTGATCGGTGGTAAGTTCAAAACAAAATATAGTGTATTTGTTTTACTCTGTTATGTGTCAAGATACAAAACAATAATGTTGAAAATTTTCATGACACATTTTATGTAATCAACACACAGATCAAGCACATATAAAATATGACATGGCAACAAGACTGGAGAAGATGGGCACACATGGAATTGTAGAAACATCCCCCACTTTAGAACTTCATTTAGAAAGTAGTGAAAACACATATAAGTGCAATGTCCACTTTCTTTAAGGAACTAACTTTCTGTCTCTTTTCTTTAGGGAATTTGGTCCTCATATTGGGTTTGTCAAATATGGAAAGTGTCCCTAGCAGCTAATGGAACACCTTCACATGTTTGTTCTTTTTATTACTTCATTCTGGAAATTATTTCTTTGCAAATTTGAGGCTTTTAACTTGCAAAGTATATGCATGTTTGTGCCCTATCCAGATGCCAAGCTAAATGGACAACAAAGGAACTCAAATAATGAAAAAGAATGTCATACTTGTTGCAAATAAACACCTTAATAAATGAAATGATTGCTATTCTTTTCTGTAACCTGATAGTTTAAAGTCGGCTTCTGTGTGGAGAGATGTATATTCTGTCAGTCCAGTGAGATTGCTACTTTGAATTAAACTCGCCAGGTCTCTCTGTCAAGCAAGCTTTGTGCCACTAGCTTCACTTAAAGCCAAAGAAAGTGAAAACATCCTTCCCATGAAAGCTAGACTGCAGAGCAGGAGGTCATTGGCTACCCAGACTTAGTGGTAGCCCTTCCAATCTCTAAATCTCTCTTCCCTCTCTTCGACTGGACTCTGGGAGCTTGGCCCATAGAGATAATATAAGCAAAGGAGTCAAGACCATGGTGGGAAAACACACAGAAACAGCTGACCTGAGCTAGTGGGAACTCACTGACTCTGGAGCAGCAGCTGAGGTCCTGCAGAGAACCCAAGTAGGCCCTCTGAATGTGGGTGACAGTTGTGTGGCTTGGGCAGTTTATGGGGCCACTGGCATGGGACCAGGATTTATCCCCAGTCCATGAAATGGCTTTTTGGAGCCTATTCCTATGGAGGGATACCTTGCTCAGACTATATACAGAGGGGAGGCCCTTGGTCCTGCCTCAACATGATGTGACAGACTTTGTTTACTCCCCATGGGAGACCTCACCCTCTCTGAGGAGTAGATTGGGGTAGGGGGAAAGACGGGGGAAGCAGGAGGAGAGGGAGGGGAAACTGGGATTGATATATAAAATTTAAAAAGGTGTTTAAAAATGTTACAGTTCCTGTGTTGGAAGAGTAATGTTTCTTACTCAGAGAAAGAAGGAATAAGAGTATGGACAGTGGACCAGAATTCTTTCCTCAGTTTTGTTACTGACTGTTTAATTTAGGGTCATATCACTGTCAGGTCACTGCCCTTGACCCTACAGAAGGACGATCTGTTCAGCTTAACTAACTCTCGCCTTAAACACGATGTATGTCCTGATCAAAACCAATTGCTCTTACATTTGGTCATTTGGTAGTAATTAAGATGAAGGCTGTTAAAGAGTGGTTCTCAGCTTTCCTAATGCTATGGCCCTTTAGTACAATTCCTTATGTCATGGTGACTCCCAAGCCATAAAATTATTTCATTGTTACTTTATGATTGCAATTTTGTTACTGTTATGCATCATAATGTAAACACCTGATATGCAACCCCTGTGAAAGGGTCGTTTTGCGACTCACAGGTTGTGAGCCATTGCTGTGAGCTTCTGACTTACAGCAGAAATATCCCACCACCTAGCAATGAGTGTTGCTAGTAGTTGACTTAGGACCTAATGATTCAAGCATATAATTGACAGGGCATCTTTTACTTCTGTCTAAATATCCACTCATCCAGAATCTTAAGCTGGGTGTTGGTGATTTGAATGAGAAATGCGCCCCCCCCCCCCCACACACACACATAGTCTCAGGCATTTGAATACCTGGTCTGCAGATTTTTGTTTAAGAGTTTAAGAGGTGTGCAAAGTTTAAGAGGTGTGGCCTTCTTGAAGGAAATGTATCACTAGGGATGGGCTTTAAGAGATGAAGGCCTCACCCTACTGTTAACATGTTCTCTCTGCTTTGTGCTTGTGGTTTAAGATGGGAGTGCTCAACTTGATGCTGCAGCTGCCATGACAGCTACCATTCTTGCTGCCTCTCCATGATGTCCCGCTGGAACCAAAAGCCCACATAAACTGTTTCTTCTATGAGTTGCCTTGGTCATCATGTTTTATCACAGCAAGAGGAAAATAAACAATACACTGAGCATGGTGGCACACACCTTTAATCCCAGCACTCAGGACGCAGAGGCAGAAGGTTATCTGTGAGATTGAAGCTAGGCTCCTCCACATAATGAGTTAATGCTCAGCCAGGAATACACAGCAAGACATTCTTTTTAAAAACGAACAACAACAACAACAAAAAAAAAGAAAAACCACAGCAGCAATAAAAAAGTCAATAAAACTATTACCCTTTTTACCTTTTACTTTTTTGGTGGACTAATTCAACCCTCAATCTTATGTCTTCAGTCTGTTGGCTTCATGATTAGAAGTAGAACATACAACCTGGCAACCTATACATGGAAATCACCTGACAACAGGTATCAGAGTTGGAAGCAGCATCCACTTCAATAGAGCCATTGGCATTTTATGTTTTACCTAAAAAGGCTGATGGAAAGAGAACTGCTTTCTTCTGGACATACAGATAAATACTCCCTCAGAACCACAGTCATCTTGTGAGAACAAAAGATACTCCTCAATGAAACAAAACTAGAGGAAACAGAGAGGATTAGGAAGAAAAGAAATTACACCTTCCATTTGCATACATTTTTTAAACCAATCTTCAACCAGATCTGATGATTTTGCCATTTACATGTAATAGTTATTTCCCTTTGTTTTACACAAATGGCATTACATTTTCTCGTCCCCAAGACAACACAAATGATGTGTTGAGGAGCAAAAGATCTAAAGAAAAAGTTGAATTCCTGAACTCTTCACTTTTAGAAAGACCCTTTCCCAAAACTTACCTGTATTGGAAGCCAAAGTCTTCTCATTGGTCACAAAGGCAGTATAGGCATCCTATTCTAATCATGTCTTATGTATACAAAATGCATGGTAGCAAGTGAAAGCCATCTCCTTCCCCAAATATTTATGATTTGGCATTATGATCTCTCCTGTAGCAATCAGGGCAACAGATTCTTTTCCAGAGAGCAGTAGATCAGCTCCACATGGGGAGAGCTTTTAACAGCAACTTGTCACAGTCTTCCCTCACATTCTGTTATTATTTGATGCCTATTCTGATATATCTCCTTTCCTATGGCTATCTCCACTCACAAATGTATATACTATGTCTCCTTATTACATAGATTCCAACCCTGGTAAATATGATTTGTCTTCCTAAAAATGATTGAAAAACTGCTATTATCCTTCCAGACTCTAGCTTGTGTGATTTGGCTTGCTAAGTCTAGAACTTCAGCAAGTGTGGAGATGTGTAATGTTGCAGGTCTAGAGCCTAGATACAACTCATCTTGGGCTACCTACATTTACCTACCTTAATAGCCAGCCCTTGGCCACTTCTGTGTTGGTACTAATATTCTACTACTTAAAAAATAGTAGCTAAAAAAATCTTTAGACAAAACCCTTATTTCCACCATCTTCAAGAATAAGAATACCATCAGAGAGCGTGTGAGGTCTCCAGAACACTTTTCTCTACCTTGATTCAACCCACCTACTCAGTGTTTCCACCAACGTGTTTTCAAAGTGCCTTCATTTATGATCTGCTTTGCTATATTATTATAAAAACCTCATCAAATTGTTACCACATTGGAACATGGATTTAGAGGTAACTAAATCTGTTCCTAAGCCTTGGTCACTAAGATTTAACTCCAGAATGAACTCTCTCTTACCCTTTGAGCTGTCAAGTTTCCTTACATAACTTTGATTGTGGGATGATTGATTAATTACCCACACTGTTGAACTTGCTCTCCAGCTAGATTGATATCGAGAGTCACCCAAAGCTCCCACCCTGAATCACATGGTCTGACCTGCCCTATTCTCATCCCTCGTGTGACCAGCACCGCCCTGTAATCTGGTGCACCCAGTTCCTATTGTAAACAAAACACACCCGTATGGTGTACCATAACTTATATCTGAGAAGCAAAAAGCAAAGAGCTGACCCATTTGGGAAACTAGGCCAGATTCTTTCCCTACATAATCCCATATTCTCTGATCCCACTATGCTCTGCTCAGTTTGGAGCTCAGTTTCCTTTCAAGCATGTCAATAGCTCCTTATTTTCCATGATTGTCTTCCCAAATCATTAGGTTTTTGTTTTTGTTTTTATGATTCCACTTTTTTCATTTGTCCAAATCATCACATAATCCCATTTCTTTTCCATAACTCCCACTAAAGCACACTTTAGTACTTCCAACTTCGTCCTCACATTGGAACTGCAGTTTCTAAGGATTCACATTTCAGTTTTAAAGGCTACCACCTACTTTGTTAATGCGTTTCTAATTCTCTGGCACTCCTAAACATGCAAAACCTGCCTGTTGTCTTTCACAAATATTCCTGTCCCTACTCTCCACTCTTTTCATACTTTCTCGTTTTTCAGACAAGTTCTCTCTTGTAGCACTGCTTAAGCTCTGGTCTGTCTCATTTTCCATTACCAATGTTAGGGCAGAAAAACTGAAGGATGATTTCCATACTCAAAAATTTCAGTCAAATTATCAAATACCCACTAAGTAACAACATCACTAATAGCAAAGAACCAGCTAAGATGGGCATTCCATTACAAATCTGAACATTTACAAGATATCTCACCTGTAATACATTTGGGTACAAGGCATTTTTATTGAAGAATTCTTCCTAATTATATTAATTTATTATTGCATGCATTATTTAATAGTTAAAATATTAAACAGTCTTTGAAGATTTCCCCATGGAAGGCCTCACCCTCCCTGGGGAGCAGAAAGGGGATGAGATATGGGGTTGGTAGGATTCAGGAGAGAAGGGGAGGGAGAGGGAGCTGAGATTGACATGTAAAACAAGTTTGTTTCTAATTTAAATAAAAAAAGAAAAAATAGTTAAAATATTACATTGATTATATCAAGAAAAATTAAATAGTATGACTAAATTTTAATAATGTTTCTCTAAGATAATTTTTATTATCTTCAGTATCAAATAGGAAACATTTCAGAAAAATATATTTATTTATTAAATCGTCAAGGTATTTCTATTTAATTAGTGATTTTGGTTCACTTAAAAACAAAAACTGTCTTTAAATTATCAGAGAAATTAGTACATACATACATAATGCATAC